AAAAAAAAAAAAAAAAAAATTAGCTACGCCAACAAAACAAATATAGCACAAGGCATATAATTGCAAAATTATCCATTAGGATGCTCCCGAAGAATCCTTGTCCCAAAACCAGATGAACAGATTAATTTTTTATTTAAAAACAATAATTATCCTAAATCTCAAATGTTTCAAAGATACAATTTGAAAGAGTCCAATATTGCCATCTCATTGCAGAAGGAACAAAATATAGTTATGAAACATGTGGAAACCAAAAGATGCAGGAAAATTTGGACATACGTACCCCTTGCCAAGGCGCCTTACCATTCTCAGCTTCGCCCTGAGTATTAATGACAAAGCTTGAAATCAGTATACATGTGTAAACGTGACACCAAAAAGGACCACAACAATGTGGCATGATAATATATTCGTATAAGGACTGACATAATATTTGGAGAATAAGTCAATGTGTTAACTCTACTGGAGTATGGTTAGGAAATTCCCGCCAAACAATTCATGTGTACTAACCAAATAAAAGAAATATGATCATAGAAGAAAATAGTTCCTGAGGTCTAACCTGACTTCCAAGTGACGGGATTACTTGGTGGACAATCCACTGGGAGTCAACAACGCCAATTTTTTCATGTGCAGGCTGCAAGGGTAACAAAATCAGGTTAGAGGATTTTGACAAAGAACACAATGGTCTTCCAAGAATTAGCTTATGCAACACAATTATGCCATAAACTGGATTATCATATCTCTGTACTCCCATTACATTTCAACTTGTGTAAACATGATTCCTTTCATCGTCTTCTCCTCCTACCTTGAGTATTTAACAATTTAATTGTATTTTTAATTCCTTTTTTTTTTCCTGGCAGATAGGAGAAGGTGTAGAGAGAAAAAGAGGAGAGAGACTAACATCCACACATCTTCTTAATGCAAAATCCAATCCCCATCCATGAACCAAGTCATTCTGCAAATATATAATACGGTCAGATAAAGTACTTTAAAACCACGGCCTTTCAACAAACAAAAGAACATTTAACACAGCTTAAATAAGAAAAAGAATCGTATGTACTCAAAATTAAAAGCTACCTGAATCATATGCCAAACACATCTCCAAGCCTCTCGAGAGAACACTGGAGCCATAATTTCCACAAAACTGATATAAAGAATAAAGAGATACAATGATTATCAAAGTGTATCAGCCAAACCTTGATGAACAGGGATCAAAATATCATAGGTGTTCGATTTTTTTTTTAACATTTATTGTTATTATTAATGCACCAGAGTATACCTACACTAACAAGAACAAAAAGCTGCACTAATAACTTTTGCATATATTAGCTTCCACTGTATGAGAATCCTACTACCCATCCCAAAGGGATACAATTTTGTAGCAAACTTGATAAAAGGTGATCCCCTCAACTATCATATCCCAAATGCAATTGATGGCACAAGTAATTAGCCAAGGAGACAATTATATGCCAGTAAATAAACACAAGTATTGTTGCATTCAATTCATCTATACAGCATGAGATAGAGCATATACGCTGCACAAGGAGGCAAATGTGGATCACTGCACCAGCCCGGTTTTTCCTCTGTATCCCTGTTAACAAGATCCATGCACTCTCAGGTTACAGATGAGGAGGGTGTGAGGAGACACAAAATTCGGATGGTAATTGGTAAATCAATAGACCTACTTGTGAACTTCTCTATCACCACGCCTTTTTGTCATTTGCCATGTCAGCCCATTGTTGGGTTCAAGACCTGGCTGTGAAATCTCTAGTCCATGTTTCTTGACCAATTGTACATACCTACCATGCGGACAAGGTTCAACATAGCTTAATAATTTAAAACATAATAACATAATGGAAGAACTGTAATGCATTAGGAACTACACTCCCCCACCCAAACACCCACCCACCCATACACACACCCACCCATACACACAGATACACAAGAAAAGGAGAAAATAATTAATATATTTAAAGTAATAATAGTTACTTTTCAGCATCGAAGTGTTCAACTCCAAGATCTTCATCCCAAATGAAGATGTAGTCATAAGCAGCCACAACATCTGGATGTAGAAATCTCTTTGCATACCACCTGCACAAAAAAGACAAATCAAGTCATGCACATGTAAAGAATCTAACGTGTATAATTTCACTATTCAACAACTTGACACAAGCCTCAAATTCAGATAGAACGTTCAAGTATCTGAATATTTTAAACTTAACTACGGCATCCACCTTCAGCAGCTAGAGTGGGGTGTCCTAATCTTTCAGTAACGAAGTTAACGAACAATATTGTATAGTTTATAAGACTTCCAGATTCTTAACATGCTGTCATTTGAGTTTAAATATTATCAGCGCATGTCCACAAAGGTTGAATTTGAAAACAATACATACTCAACAAAATAAACATCAATCCAGATGATACATTTCAAAGGCGCTAGTCTATGACGTTAGGAACCCAACACCCAAAGGAGACAATAAAGCTGGATATGACCTTCAGAATATTACCATTTAGTTTGTCTTCTAACACTGACATGAATGGCACGCTGTGACCACTCAAATATATCCCATTCAGTTGTCCGGCCATCATAATGAAAAAGCATTATCTGAAAGTCCTCAGAGAACTACAAGTACATGGAAAATCAGTCTCATGTAATAGTGGTATCTTTGGGGAAAAGAAAAAGATAAAAATCTACGAGTTCATAACGAAATTCAGAACTGGTTTAACCTTTTTAACAGCAGCATTAATATTGTCCTTTTGATTCCAACCAACTGTAAATGTTACTAGATACTTCGGCTTCCTTTTCAGATCCTGAAAGTTGCAGAAAGTTCAAGCATACTAAAAAATAAAAAATAAAAAAAATCCTATCATAGTTTAATAAACCTATGGACTGATACTGCAGAATGATATGCTTTGACATCAACAGACTCTTTTTCCACGTCAACCGTGCAGTCAGTGCTAAGAAATCATTCTTGCAGAGTTGAAGATAATACCACAGGTCCACAGGAGAACAGGGATGAATGCAATTGCTTCTAACCAAACCGTTTTTACACCATTCCAAGTATTTAAAAGAGAGACAAATATGAATCAAACATACATAATATTCAATAAAAATATAAAAAATGATCCCAAACTAATCCCTTCTCTGATTATTTTAGTACTAAATAGACAGATATCTGCAAAAGTCAAGAAACATAAGTTCGTAAAAGAAGGGAGATAGGGGTGAAACCATATATATCACTATGTCCAAATTGGCCGCATCTTACCTCACTAGGTTCACCCCATAATCTTCTCAGATAAAAATCTGATTCTGACACAACAATTCCTGGAGGTAAAGACTCAGCACCACGAGGATTTGTAGGAACATATATCTGCAAGACAGAAAAATATTTAAAAACTGATCCCGAACTGATATTAGAATCAAATTGAGCATGATGCAAAACTGTATTACAACTGTTCCCACCAATTGATCTTTGTAATTTACCAAGAAATAAAAAAGATACCAATTGCTCTTTAGGGACAAATCAATTATTTTTGTAGTTTGAATTGATGTAAGATGAAAAAGTATGATTAAAGTTGTTTTGATAGGGAAATAGAAAAATGATTATTGGTGGTTAAAAAAATGTGACTGGATGAATAGTAAATTTCATCAGGATATGAGCAGTGATGATTGGTTATTTTATAAATTATACTAATAAAAGTTGAGGAGAAAAAGTGAGATGGGTAAATAGTGTATTTTTCTCTAGTAGATGAAAATCCGATTTATCTAATATCCAATCGCCTCCCAAGTGTTCCAGGTTTCCCAACTTACTTTTCATTCTCGCCTTGTTAGGAAAACCAAACAGATATACTATAGTGGCATGTAAACTACAGTTCATATAATAAAGCCTTACTGCTATTTTATAGTAAGGAATTAAATAAATGATATCTGATTTTCCCACCACACAAGCGAAAAAATGTGGTAATAAAATCAAAATCATGCCATCATTATGTGTAAAATCATCAAATTTCAGTAGGAAAACATGAGTAATACCAAGGGAACAATTACAGGAAAGTACTACCTTGGGTGTTAAAGGAGTACTCCCTGAACCAAGGTTTTCAGGAAAACTACGATCATCAGATGCATGGCGGCCATCATGAAAAGCCATATCAATAGATGATATTAAACTTGAAGGCAGATTAATCTAAAAAAAAAAAGTCGATTATAAAACAATAATTGTCTGAAAGC